CCTTCCTTCCTTCCTTCCTTCCTTCCTTCCTTCCTTCCTTCCTTCCTTCCTTCCTTCCTTCCTTCCCTCCTTCGTTCCTCCCTTCCTCCCTTCTCTTTCTGTAGCTCTCCCTAGGAAAAAGTCTGTGTTAATAATGACCTCATACTTGCATAGCTCTGAATGCTTTTTAAAATTTCAGTGTTGGTCGAATAGTTTATTGTTCAGCATTCAACTCACAGCTCTGGCCTTTGGGCTCTGGTCAAGTAATCACATGCAATCAAATGACCCTCAGGAGAGAAGAGCTACAGACTGGGAGGAAAGGAGTTGAGTGTTATTCAAAGCTGACAATGTGCCAAGTCCTGTAACAAAGTCTGTCGGCTGTGATGGACCTTCTGGTGTTTGTCTTAATTATACTGACAGCCCTAGGAAGTACCACTTGCTGTTCTTCCAATCAAAACATGGAAAGTGTTCAGATCGCTCATATTCTCTGACCTTTCTACAAATTGCCTTTGACATAACTCACATACATTTTGTAATTATAAGCTTGGCTCTTGGGACACCAGGGTAGTCAAAAAGATTCCTGGAATTTGTCTATCTGGATAAATGTTCTGGAGAATTACCACACACTTTTAGTTTCTGCCGAGTTCTTCTATGTGCTCGTCTTCGTGATCTTCAAAATTAAACCTGAATTTTGCTTTATTCCTCCTGATCCCCCAGGTTTTGTTTGTTTGATTGGTGTTCGACAGCACCTCCCTATGTAATCTAGACTGGTATGGAACTCTAGATCCCCTTTCTTCAGACTCTGGAGTACTTGGATACCCATTTGTGTAGTGGTGGGGTGGAGAGGCACATTCCTAGATTCTCCTCCATTTTGTTTTTATTTTGTTGTTGCTGTTATATAAGGGTCTTTTTTATCTTGCTGTGTAACCCAGGCTGGCCTGAGACTCAGGGTAATCCCCCTGCCTCATTCTTCTAAGTGCTGATATTACATGCATGCACTATTCTCCGAGACTTTTTTTTGTGAGCCACCATGTAGTTTCTGGGACTTGAACTCAGGACCTCTGGAAGAGCAGAGCGCACTCTTAACCACCAATCCATCTCTCCAGCACCATACACCTAGACTTTTTTAATCTGCAAAGCAATAGGCTAAGGGAAGAGGCCTCTGGTGGCTTTTAGGTGACCTCCGTGACTTTTCATGTTCTGCGAAGATTGGAGATAACCTGCTCACCCACCCTGGAATGCTGCCTTTCCCCGTGGCCTGCTCTGTGACCTTAGCCAAGTGGCTCCCCCCCCACCCCCCCCACATGCTTCCTTTTTGATTAGCTGGGAAGTGAAACGATACAAATTTTATAATGCTTATTAGGAAGATTAAAACACAAGGGTGGAAGGAATTCTAGGCACTGTGTTCCCCCTCTCATACCACAAAACCATCAATTCAAGAAGTAAAATGTAGACCTTTAAAATAACATAGAGCTACCAGTCACAAGCCACCATGAGTCAGCTACCATTCATGGTTGCCCAGCTCCTCCGTGCAAGCCAGAATTGTCTATGGCTAGAAATGAAGACGTGGGAGCTGGGATTCAAATGCAAGCACTTAGAGGCCAAACAAAATCTATTTTCATTTTAAGGCATGTAAGTTCTATATGGAAAGTTTTGATCTGTATAATACTCATTCTTACAAATTGAAGATGTTATTGTATAGGTACTCGGTTGCTCTTATGAAGATATTTTGAGTTCTTATGAAAGATAATAAAGGATTAAACCAAGCTTGTTAGGTTGCTAGCTTTCAATGCTTTTGGTGGCTTTTTTTGGGGGGGGGGGTTCAAAATGTAAATATATTTGATTTTTGCCTTTTTGTAGATGTATTCTAATAAGGTAGGAGGAATCAGTCATCAGATTGAAAGAATCCTGGGGATATGTCAGGCCTTTCAGAGACCTAAGGGGTCATAATACTTAGGCATATAGGGCTGGTCCTATTAGTTAGTCTTGTATTTTGTGAATGATGCAGTCCATTTAAAAGAAAATTATCCTGCTTCATGTTTACCTTTGCATATCCAGTAATGGGGAGAAGCCAGTCTCCCTATACTTCCCCAGAGTGTCCACATGCACAGTCTAGAGGAAGGCTCTTCTGTGCTCACATGTAGGCTGTGGAGACCTATCCTATCCAAGCCCAGCCTTTTGTAGCATCAGTCATGGGGAAGACTGCCTCCTGTACCTTGTGGGAGAGACCTACTTCTAAAAGAATGTTCTCATTAGGACAGGAAATACCCAAAAAGTGGCAATCTACTTTCTTATAACACAGTAACTTAGTAGTAGTAATTCCTAAACGCTTGCTTTTTAAACATTTCTCAAGCCTTAAGTTTTTTCAAGTTTTTTGGGGAAGAGTGTTCAGTTTTTGTTTTTGTTGTTGTTGTTCCTTTTGTTTTTTCGAGACAGAATTTCTTTGTATAGCCCCAGTTGTCCTAGAACTCACTCTGTAGACCAGGCTGGCCTCAAACTCATAGAAATCCCTCTGTTTCTGCCTCCCCAAGTGCTGGGATTAAAGATATGTGCCACCATCGCCCAGTAAGTTGTTCAGTTTTAAAGAACATCTCACTCCAGGATAAGACTGACTGACCAAGCTGATTCCATTTCCATTTAGTCCTTCCTCAGCTTAACTGAAGACCCTGCCAATTCCATTCTCTATCTGTCACAGGGGTCTTATCTACTGTGAACAACTGTCTCCAGGGCAAGAACTTCTCAAAAAGAATAAATAAGGCACTGTGCCTAAGCTGACTGTATTGTGACTTACAGTGATGACTCAAATGTGAGAAAGCCACATTAGCCAGGAGCTTAGGTCTTTCTAGGAGACCATCCTTTCCCCCAAAGTCTCTCAGACCAGGGTCTCAACTATAGTTCTGCATGTGTAAGTATCTGCTGTAATGATTTTGCCAGCTTGGAGGTTACACCAGAAAGGGAATTTGAGTCTACAAGGAAGTTGACTTTTTTGCTCCATAAGTGAAGAATGTCCCTTCACTGTACAGTCCAAGCACAGTTTCAAAAGTTGTAATAACAGTCTCCAGATTTTCTCTCCTTTCACAATATGTCCCAGGCACACAACATGTGGAACATCTGGTTGGTGGAAACTATAATTAATACACCAGGAAACAATTGCTACTTAACAACAAATGGGTTAATATCCAGAAAATATACAGATTTGTTATGGGCCCATAAAAATCAAGCCATGAAGACACATCCTTCCTAACAAGTAATACATGTGATTAGTAAAGTGGTTCACAAACATGTGCAAGATTCCCAAAGTTCTTTTAATTACATTTATTTATTTTGTATGTGTGCTCAGGCACTACTGCATGTGGACGTTGGAGAAGAGCTAATGGGAGACAGTTCTGTCCTTCCACTATACAGGTCCCGGGGAATTAAATCAGGTAGTCAAGCCTGGCCACAGGTACCTTTATCTACTGACCCATCTCATCAGCCCCCTCTGGGCTCTGGATCCTTTTTAAATTTCAATGTTGGGCAAATAGTTCATTGTTTAGCATTCACCTCACAGCTCCAGCCTTTGGTCTCTGGTCAAATAATCACTGACCCTCAGGAGAGAAGAGCTACAGACTGGGAGGAAAGGAGTTGAGTGTTATTCAAAGCTGACAATGTGTCAAGTCCTATTTAAAAAAAAAAAAGTTCATCATCTGTGATAGACCTTCTGCATTGTCTTAATTATACTGACAGCCCTAGAAGTGTGTTTTGATTGTCTGCATGTATGTAAGTTCACTTCATGTCTACATGGTGCCTGAGGAGGCCAGAAGAAGGCACTTAATTCCCCCGGAACTAGGGTTAAGGTGGGTTGTAACCCACCATGTAGGTTCTGGGAACTCAACTGCAAGAGCAGCAAGTGCTATTAACCACTGGGCAGTCTCTTTCTTAATGTTCTTCTTTACCAACAATGTTTAATAAAAAATAAACAATTAGAAATACATTTTACAGAGACTGAAGGATTTCTGAAGTCCAGTTTTGTCAAAAGGGTGTCAAAAAATATTTGTGGATCTATGAAGTGATACCTCCTTTGGAGAGAACAGTTTGGTGATTGCTATCAAAGTGACAAAGTTGCTTGGGTTTGGTTTTCAAATTCTTACTTGAGGTACCCATTCGAAGACAGTGTGGCCTTGATCCAGCAGATAAGCTAGGGTTGAGGAGGAGGATGGGAAAGTGTGTAGGTCTCTTAGCGGGCACCTAGCTATCCTGCTCAACACAGGAACAAGCTTTCTGGTTGCTGTGCAACTCTTCCTCATAAAAACTTGCAGATGCCAGGGTCCCTTCCTAGGGTCTGAGGAGGGAGGCAGTCTCCAAAACAGCAACACAGCAAGGCTTCTTGTTCAGAGCTTTTATTCAGTTAGGGGAACAGCCCACTTCAGGAGAGGGGAAGGGGTGGGGCCTCTCTCTGCTTTCTACTTTGGTTCCATGACCCCTGTTCTTTTAAAGTGTTACAAACGCCTCCATGTTGAGCATTTACTTAGTTTGTTAATGCTTAACAGAATTACCCTGTACCTTTCTTTGTCTCTCATCTTAAGTGGCTTACAAAGCAAGACTTG